GTCCTGTTTTTTGTTTCGGTTTTTTCCCAGCGATGGCCAAGAAAAATTTTGGAAGGTGCCGAATCGGTAGAGAAAAATGGGGGGGGGGGAGGAAGCCATAAACGAATGAATGAGTAACTGAGAAACAAGAGCCGTGGCATTTTCTAGGTTGCAGCCTGGTAAAGACGCTGAACTTGGTGGAGGAGCCGACAGCTGCATTTTCTGTCGATTCCTTTAATTGCTCCCAAATTAGAAGGCAATGAAACACCACTTTGCATAGCTTAAGGGAATGTTATTTTCTCCCTATCCGTTCTTTCTCTGATGGCCTAGGGAGAAAATTCCCAGCTGGAGGCTCTGCTAAAAACTGCCCTTTGCCTTTTAAAAAAAAAAAAATCCCCAAAATATGCTATACACGTTTATTTTCACTCTGATGTTACTGCACTGCAAACATTTGCACAACGGGGTAAAACTGAAAGGTGGCAACAGTGCAGAAGACAGATGGGGGGGCAGAATTTTACGCCAAAACAAGGAGATAAAATAACAGAGAGGAGAAAGACATTCAGGGAACGAAGGGGATAAAAACAGGATTTCTATCCCCCTTCCCTCTTTCACAATAGTATGTTAGATTTTAAAATGGAAAAGCTCCTTTCTCTTTACAGCAGCCCCTTCCGAATTGTTTGAGTGCAGGGTCCCATGGTGGCATCGGAGATTTCCAGCTGTTTTTAGAAAGAGACCCTGAAAGTCGGCTACAGCCTCCATCAGCTTCCGCTTCCTATGGATTTCACTAGCACAAGTTCCCACGAATGCACGCTCTCACAAAGGCAATGCAGCAATGCAGACAAAACATGGCTTTTATATTCCATAACTACACGGTTGTGTTCATAAATCACCTGGAGTCAAGAGCCAACCTGTGCGTTCAAGACTCCTAGAAAAAAGAAGGTAATCGCGGTTGCTCTCAGGGTCACCCGCCTGCAGAGGTTCAGCTCAGTTTAGGTCCTCTTAGCATAACGATTCAAGCATGCAAGAACTCAAAGGGGTCCCCATAGACAATGCTGGCCATATCACGTCCATCATTCACAAAGCATTAGAAGCCGCTAAGGCCAAAGCCACAAAAATACTACTATTTAGGACAGAGATTCCCCCAGGGAAAAATAATCACTTCTAAATCTTATCATCTGGCTTTGTTTTTTCAAGCGTGGGCAGTTGGCCAAGCTGAGCAAGAGAAAAACGCATCATCTTTCCTGGCCTGGAGCTTGGAAAGACCCCTTCAAAATCCACACTGTAAAATGGTGGGCCAGTATAGGAAAACAGCTGGAGAGAGAAAAACAGCACACACCCCCCAGAGTAAGTCATGTGCGTGCATGTATGCACGTGCATGTACACACTGATGAAGTAGATTGTATGAGTCTTCCGTGGTTGTGGGTCAGGTGGCTGTGTGCCCTCGCTTTGCTCGCAAATGCACACAGAGCATTTAGAAGAAAAAGAGTGACAAATTCATTTACTCTCAGTGGAAGCAGGAAGAGAGAAATCACAGCAGAGTCTGCTTCTCCCCCCACCCCTCCCTTGTTCTCTTTCTCTCCCACACACATACACAATTTTGCTTTGAGCAGGAAATCCATCACACAATTTCAATATGCTTAGCCACTGCATCAACACATTCAGCAAATACCTTTAGCTACCCCTGCTGTACTTCACTGAATGGCTACACCCTGCACATATCCCCAGTTTGGGGCAATCAAGGCTGCTTATGAACTGGAACACAGGATGTGAAGTTTGCAAAAATTAAAAAAGGAAATTTTCTGGGGACAACTGCCATTTTTCACTGAAATCACCCAGGTTCACAGGGACCTTCATGAGTACAGCAAACAAAGAGTCTAAATCTGTGGTTTTTCAAATTAAACGACCCAGTTTTTGTTTTTGTTTTTATTCATTCCCCCTCACCTGACTTGGAAGCAAATCAGAGAGCCAACTTTTCACAGATGCACAAATCACACCCTGAGATACTGTTTATACAAAGCTATTTCTTTGGAAAATCGTCCAAAACAACACTTATGGAAGCGATTACCACTTGAGAAGTATTTTCCCCAACACACAGTTGGTAAGAGGAAAATTGCAAGCTAAAAAGAACTCTGAATTCCAATTTAACAATTAACTGGAACTGCTGTTTGGAAAGCTCCTTGGTGCTTTTGGACTTGAAGGACATCCAGATAAATATCTTCTTCTACCAACATTACACATTTTACTCCCTCTATCCGGAGAACAGTGCCAAGCGTAAGCTGCTACACACAGCACAGCTCCTTTAAGATTGTCACATATGAACCTCCACGTGCACAGCTCATTCTGACATGCAAACATTTTTCTTGCAAGGCATGTTAGACACAAGCAAAGAAAGAAATACCCTTTCCCCACCAATCCAGAAAACACCGACCCACAAGGCAAGAGAAAAATGGTTTCTCGTTGCACCACGCTGTGAGAAGGAAACCCAACATCCACCACCGGGCAACTAAAATACGGGATGTCACTTGCTATTGCCATAATGAATCCGGCCAACAACAATTCTCTATCTTCAGATGGGATTTCAGCTGCAAGACCAGTTAGGGCATTTTTTATTCTATTTTGGCCAACCTTGCTTTTTCGCCCTGTTGAAGAATTCTGGAGAACTCCAAAGCTTGCACACTTTGGGGGAACCCTTTGCCTGGTCCTGACAAAACTCAAGTCCCAACTGGAGATTCTGGATTCCTCTGCCAACGGATCTTATTAGCGTTCCTACTAGCAGCAACATTTTGGTGGCAAGGGGGCAACTCTCAACCTGGGCAGGGAGAGTTAAAGGACAATGTGGGGGGGAGGGTATGCAAAAGGTGGGAGTCCCCCCTCCCCCTCCCCCAGGTTTGGAGGATTCCTACATTTTTAAAAAGAAAATGTGCTAAGCCTCTTTGGGGGTTTCTGCTTTTTGGGAGTTGTGTTTCAAAATGTTGGGAAACAACATTGTCTATTTTTTGGGAATTGCAGTTGGAGAAGTCCTGAGGGCCATAAAAAATGGGTTTGGGGAGTCACCCCCACCCCAATTTCTAGAGCAACTGCACCTGGAGGTGCAATTAAAAGCAAGGGCAGAAAATGTGCTTTGGTTTATAATAATTTGCTTTCTTTCAGACTTCTGTCTCAGTGACTTCTGCCAGATAGAAACCATTTGCAACAATACTCAGGTGCTCATGAGAGGATAAAGAAGCGTGTCGGGCAGGAAAAGGACCACCCTCGTCCCAAAAAGTTTGCAGAACAGATCCAGGTCAGGCTCCTTTGAAAGACAGGCAGCCCCCACTTCCAAACCATCACCCCCGGACTGGGAAAATGCTTGAAAGTCACATCTCTGAAACCTCAAAGACACCATGAAGAAGCTTCTTACATGAAGTCCTGGGGACACTTTTAGCACGCAGCCTCCTTACAACAAAAAAGGCCAAAACAAGCAAGGCAGACCGAATGATACCCACAGATCTTTTGCTTGCCCTGCTGACATCACAGCAGTTCAGCCAATCACAGCCAAGGTCCCTTCCTATTTGCCGGTGTCTCTGTGACATACAAGCAGCCAGGTCCCTCTCTATCAACACCTTCACTGTGACCAAGTCACCATTTCAAAAAACAGCAATTAATTCAGCGTCCAAACATAACACGACCAGACAAATCTGCACCTTACCAACTGTGTAATTTCAACACAGATATTCAAAGCTCCTCTAAATTTAGGCTCAATATTGCACCACATCTGGCTTTAATCACAATCCAACGAGGAAATCTGGAAGTAAAATCGACTTACTTTTTCACTTTGGGATATTTCATCTCCGAAATGGCATTCGTGGACTCTGTCTGTCTTTCCTTCAAATGTCGCGGCCACATGTTGTCTACCCAGTCTACTAAATCCACCTGCAGAAGACCCAAAGCAGAGTTAAGGCAGGAAATGTTTAAAAAAGACCCAATCTCTCGGCTAAGGACGCTCTAGGTCACCCCACGCTCAGCCAGAATCTCCACTCACCACGTTGGGACGCTTGACGATGTTTGCCAGTTTGGTGTGGCTGAATTCCAGGCTGATCATGTTGTATAACTTCTCACGCTCAGCCTCAGGGGTTTCGTAGTAGCGCACAAATTGAGCCATGCTCATTTCAATGCCTTTTTGGGTGTTCACATCCATTACGTCCACAATCCGTCGGCTCCCTGGAAGATTTTGTGCATTGGAAAAGGAAGGTTGGTGGGAAAATACTGCAAAGTTTTT